CTCCTGTACACAAGTTACTAGCACAGTGATCTCCAGTTAAGTTAGATTGAAAATACACGGATTTGGACGTGTAAACGATGAGGTTTAGCGGGCGAAGATTCATGTGCACTCTGTTCTATTGCCAGATTTGTTACATAATATTAAGCAAAATCTGTGATGTAATTGATTGTAGTATAGAAGTAAACAGATTAATGATTCCTCATTAAAATAGCTATGTGACTGTGTTGTATGAGGTATAGACGTTTGTCCTGGGCCAGCCTCACTGACGGGGGCATTTAGGGAGTGAAGCAGTGGAAGGAAGATCCCTCTCTGTGTCAAATAAATAATTGGGGGGAGCTACTAAAACCCCTCTAGATTTATGTTCTTTTTTTTCTATGAATACAATATCCTTCTAATAACCATGTTAGAAAAAATGGAAACTAGGGCCTTTATAATAACTCACTCTGGCATCTTAGGAAAAAAAAAAATTTAAGTTTATAAAGTGTGATGTCTACAGGGTGATTCACTAGACCAAATAGAAAATAATGTGGCACTGGTGGTAGTGGTGACCTTTTAGAGAACACAGGTAACCCCTTACAAAGGCATGAAAATCCAAAACTGTTTTGACACTGATAATAGAATCCCCATTTATAGCAAGAAACTCTGGGGTCCAAGGTCTGCCAGTGAACTAGCATTGGAGACATCGAGGAGTCTCTTTGACTTGTCTTACCCCATTTGAACTGTTTAATAGTATTTTAAAATATTTATCTTATTTATTGGAAAGCCAGAGTTATACAGAAAGATCTTCCATTTGCTGGTTCACTGTCCACACGACCACAACAGCCAGGACTGAGCCTGACCAAAGCCAGGAGCTTCTTCCAGGTGTCCCAGGCAGTGGACGAGGACAAGCACATTAGCAGGCAGCTGGATTAGAAGTGGCGCAGCCAGGCTCAAGCCAGCATCACAGACACTGACTTTTCTACCGCTCCACAACACCAGTCCCTATTGAAGTCATTTTTGTCTCAGTCCTATGTCATCCTCCCCCATCCAGGAATCTCTAGTTACAGATATGCAATCCGTTGTTCTATAATTAGAATACTAAACTAGATCTGGAATCCCTGCTTAGTGGGCATAAAGAATAAATGCTTTCAATTTCATCAGCTGCCGTGACTTTTAACATAATCAGGAATTGGTATTCATTCATTGCCTTCTATGTTCAAGGTAATGTGTGAGATAATAGATATTATAAAATCCAGAAATATTTGCCCTCTCAGAGCCTATATTTCCAGTAGGCAGGCACTAAATACATATTCCAATGGTAAAAGTACTAATCCTTATATTTTGGAGAACTAATTCTTAATTGTAGCATCAAATTAGTATTACTTAGGAATCTTTTTTTTAAAAAGGCACTATTATGTCCCCAGCCCAAATCAATTAACTTAGAATCTTTGAAGTAGAGTGCTAACATGTGAATCAAGTAACAGCAATAGAGGTCAAACATTGTTTAAAAAACAAATATTGCAAATTGTGATTCTCAATGCATTATTTTTTTTATTTTCCAGTTCTTATTTGAATGCCTTCCAAGCATGGTATTTGGCATAAATGTTCTCACTTTACTTGATCTAGATTTCTTTATGTACATAAAGTATTACGTAGGTTAAAAAAAAAAACCCCAGTCATAAACAGAAAACTTTAGTATTCAATTTTAACTTCATTCTTTGGTTCCTATAAATAAACCAAAAAAAATCATTTCATTCTCCAAGAAATATTGCAGTATTTTTTAGCTAAAGCAGAGCTGGGTTTTTTTTTTTTCCTGAGAATTCGTTGTCTCATCTCCACGGCAGACACATTCAGTAGTTCTTGGCCAAACACGTTAGGTGTTCAGGACCATGCTGTCTGTAAGTTGTGAAGGTTGTAAATGTTGAAATCTTTCGTAAATAATGTTCTGTGGAGGAACAGCAGCCGACCTTAGCCAGAGGCCTACGTGGAGGAGTTCGTTTCCCTGCAAGCCCAGCAGCTCTAATCCTCTTGGGCAGCAGCGTCACCACCGCGGGGCACGGGTCTCCTGCGCAGTCATGGTGCAGTTAACAGGAGAAGTGCTGGCTTGTTTGTTGATGATAGAAATAGTGATGCGGTGCAGTTATTAAACTAAACCCGCATTTTTAATACTTCCAGTTGCTATAATTTCCTTTTACCACAAGAGGTCCCTAAATCCCAGTTGATCCATGTGAGCCATTTTGTGTGGCTATCAGGCAGTTGCTATTATTTCCATTATGCCATATTAACTAAAATTTTAACATAAGCAGGTTAGACTTTTATTCTTTAGAAGCAGCTCATTGAAATATTTACTTTTAATCCCATCTGGACATAAAAATACCACATCTTATAAGAAGGATAAAAAAGACAGGAAAATGAATTATATAAGGTGACAGTAGATAGAATTCTTTTGAAGGTTAAGTGAAATAATAAAAATAAAAGCACTGCTTTTGTGAGTTAAGAACAAGTGAAACCATTCCTTTTACCTCAGATCCAACTTCCTCACTAGCCAATTATTTTTAATCTTTCAGAATCATAATGAAACATGATTTCTTTGTGGGTTAAAGATGAAAAGACAGAAGGATATTTAGGTGGGAAGACTTGGATAAAAGATGAAGCGGCATTTTGTCAGTCTCAGTTTCGTTATGTTATAAATCATTGTTACCTGTTGTGACCAGCTGTAACTGTTCCTGAGCCTGCACTAATTTAGTTATTGCTACATTGAATCTCTGCTCTTTGCTGATCAGAAAAGTCTGTGTATTTCATATAGTAATGTATATTTCATTTTTGAAATATCTTTTGAGAGATTACTTATTGGTCAAGTAGAGTTTGCTGTTTTATGTTCAACATATCTTTTTGGTTCAGTAGCTGGATCTACTGCAGTAAGATGACTGCGTATTTGTGATGACGAGGAGCCAACAAAAATATTTAACCAGAATAATAGTAAATCTTCTATAGTTGACCAATTAATAATTCACCACTGGGTATCTAGTTGTACAAGGTTTGTCTTTTTTAGTCTGTTCATTTTCAGCCTGACTTGCGAATAAAACCAGGAAACGCTTATTAATGCATCAGAGAATAATTTTCTGTCATTGAATTGTTATGTTTGCATTCTTCTGAATTAGGCTGATTAGTAGATACAAGTAATCTAGATAAAACTTTAAAATACAGTATTTCACTTGTGTTTTTACAATAAAAATCAATTTCTTAATATCTAAATGAAATTCTTTAATACATTAAGTCCAAGTGTGTTTCTTTGGGTGCTAACTTTTTAATAGTAATGTATATCTTTGACCACTAGATGGCATTAAACACACATAACTAAGGAAAAGTAAGCGAAGTTTTCGGAATATATGTATTACATATAATATATATATTCAATATATAAATATGGTACTTCCAGTGGCTCAGCAACTTAATGAGATACCCAGTGATGTCATCATGGACCCAGGTTCCTTTCATGTTTCCACTCTGCCATCCTGGATATCAAGCTTGTGCTTTGTGCCATCAATACCTGCTGCAGTGTTGTGCAGAACTTGAAAGTGTGACAAAGTCCAGCAGTGGAAGAAGGGAGCCTGCCGCCTTTGCAGGTTTCATTTTTATGGGACAGTTTACCTTACTTCAGAATCCCCAGGCAGGAGTCCTACTTGGGACTCATTGGCCATGCCTGGGTCCCCTGCACGCTCCCAAACAGGAGTCCCTGAGAGTGCAAAGGAGGTCCTCTGTCAGATCCATACAGCTCCGGGGCCAGCTAAGCCCTGGGCACACAGCCCTGGAAGGAGAAATTGAGGTGTAGGCATGGACACTCAGACAGTAATATTTAGTATCTTTCACTGTTATTTGATTGATTTACCTAAAGACTTCTTTCCCATCCTGATATTCTTTAAGCATAACTTTCACTTTGGTTATTATAAGGGCGTGACAGTGGACAGAGCTAACAGGTGCGGTCTGTGTCCAGGTGTTTCAGCCTGTCATTCAGTAGAAGCTCTTTAAGCTTTGCTTCCAGGAGTGTGTCGTCCTCCTAGCCAGTGAGTGAGAACTTGGATCCTTTTGATCTGCCTCTTGGTAGCAGCGTCCTCCGAGAACAGAGTTTCCAAAGTGCTTTGTGAATCTGTGAGCACTTTTCCTGAATCTGCCCTCATCTCCTGTAAAACTCGCCATTTTCAAGGTGCTGTATCCAGCCCGGTGGATCATGCTGCCCGGGGCATCTTGCATATATTGCCATCAGCTGCCACTCGGTTCAGCCTACACTTGTAGACTCACCAAAGGCCCAGCCGAGTGATTGACGCCCTTCAACAGCGACTGTCAGCTGTGATGCTCTCTCGCTTGTTTTCCCTTTAGACACCTCAGCGGCTTGCGGGCCAGCCAGCCCTCCCTCCTGGGACATGCTCCCATCTGATGTGGTGCCGGCAGCTCTCTTTCAGATGCTTCATGCCAAAGATGTGTCCCTGGTCTTCAATCCGAGTATCTGTGTTTCGCTACATTCAGCATATACGTGTTAAATGAATGAAGGAACTTTAATCAATTAATATTTTAAGGCGATAACTTTTTCTGAGTTAAAAAATGCCAATGGAACTGCGGTGGGTATTTGGCTGAGCAGCTAAGATTCCACTTGGGAAGACCACATCCTGTCCTGGAGTGCCTGGGTCCAAGTCCTAGCGTTATTCTCAGTTCCAGCTTCCTGAAGCGCATTCTGGGTATGCCGTGGCTGGCGATAGCTGTAACTCTTCGCTCCCAATTTTGGCTTTGATGAGCCGATGGATCGAACTCTCTCTCTCTCCCCTCCCTCCCTTCCTTTCAAATATAGTACTTTTATAACTGTTGATACTGCTGATTGCGTTTTAGGTAAAAGGCAAAAAGGTAGTGTTGCTATCATTGCTGGATTCTCAAGTTTTGATCCTTTTATCTGTAGCTTTACAAGGATTTGACTTGCTTGAAAAAGTTAGGAAAAAATTTTAAAAGAAATCTCTTGATATTTTTATCTTTCAGAAAACTGTGGACTCTATTTTCCAGAAATAAAAAGATATCCAGGCAAATATTTACACAGATGTCCCGAATCTGTAAGAAAGTGGCTTCGGCAGCTGAAGAATGCTGGGAAAATTCTTTTGCTAATTACCAGTTCTCATAGTGATTATTGCAGACTTCTCTGCGAATATATCCTCGGGTATGTGACAAGTTCAGTTGTTTTCACCAACTGGCATAGTAAAAATGGTATGAGAGGATGTTGAGTGGTGTAGCCTAGGTAACAACAGGCACGGCAGAACCAGTGGTAAGTTTCATAAGTTAATCCTTATGTCACTTCTGTGTGCAAGACCAGAATACATCTGTGGTCAAGGCAAGCTTCTATCCTGGAATAGAAGAGCTCTCCCAACAGTTTCTGAAGTTTCAGAAGGCACAGAACTGTCATGACCATGGTGCAAGGGTGGGCCTCAAAGCTGAGCTCTCCCTGCTTTTTAGCCTCCTGCTTTCCCTGTGTGGATTTCATTTGTTCTGTGATAGAATCTGTGAATGCCTTTTCTGCTGAGCAGGGCTGAGGCGTGAAATCCTTGAGGTGAACCAAGCTCGAAATCTTAGATAACTTGGGAGACGTCCCTGACGGTGGAGCCCTGCTTCAGGACACACACTGTGCTTTCAATTCCTTTTTCATTAACATAGATAACATAACCCTTTTTGTTGTCTATTTACTGTGGATTTGACTTGTTAAAAAAAAAGAAAGTTCTGGGATACAAGGTAAGTATTGCATCTCCAGTGTGAGGTCTGTCTTAATAATCCTGAGAAAACCAGCGGGGACCTAGATCAGTGTGCTGCTGTGTTGTTTTGGTTATGCTTATGTTTATAATTCAAACAGCTGTCAGGAAGACTCGCACTCAGCCACCTTCTCTCTGCAGTGCATCATTCAGCCTCAAATGTGTAAAACAGGAAGCATGTAAAAGTTGATGAGGACAGATATGATATTGTGGTAAAATAGACAAACATTATGTTCTGTTTGGTATGGTCCATTTCTAATTGCTTAGAATCAATTTATGAGAAATGTTGTTGCTTTTCAGGAATGATTTTGCTGATCTCTTTGACGTTGTGATTACAAATGCGCTGAAGCCGGGTTTCTTCTCCCATGTACCAAGTCAGAGGCCTTTCTGGACGCTGAGTGAGTGTGTTCTTTCTTTTTTCCTCCTATGTACCTCTTGGCTAGCAAGTGCAGTACAGTGTCTTCTTTCCCCTTAATGGGGAAAAGAGATTATAAAATACCCCTGTTTATCGTAAGTTTTGCGCTATCATTTATTGTCATTATTTGTTTGCATGACAGCCTCTCCCGACTAAAAACGAACAACAGGGTGGACGTTGTGGCATGGCAGTGAAGCCATAGCCTAGGATGTACACGCCCCTCATTGGAGTACTTGACTGATCCAGTTACATCCTGATGGGGAACCTATGACAGCCTAAGTACTTGAGCTCCCACAACACATGTGGGAAACTCAGACTCCTGGCTGCAGCCTGACCCAGCCGCACCTGTTGCAGACCTTTATGGAATGAACTAGCAGACGAAAGCTTGCTTCCTCTGCTTGCTCGCTCACCCTCTTTCTCTCTCTCTCTCAATACGAGACACACATACATACACATTGCTTTGCATTTCAAAAAGTAACTTAGATAAAAGTGAAGATCATGGGCTTCTGATTTTTAGAGCCTAACTAAATGCCTCAAACAATGGAATGATGAATTAATTATAGTAAGTTAGAATTAGTTAAAAATAAAATCTTTTTTAAAAAATTATTTAAAAGGAAGAGTTACAGAGAGAAGGAGAGACAGAGAGAGAGCTTCCATCTATTAATTTAACTCCCCAGTGGCTGCAACAGCTGGAATTGAGCTGACTAAAAGCCAGGAGGCAGGAGCTTCTTTTGGGTCTCATGGGAGTTCAGGCCATAGGCATGTTAGCCTACCTCACGATGGCATGGGCCCCAGAATGGGTTGCTTTTTTAATAGAAGTGACTGCAGGGTGTGTAAAGATCAGAGCAAATGAAACAGTTCTCTTTCTGGGGACCAGGAAAGGCCTTCAAGGAAGAGTGTGAGAATTACCACTTGTATAGAAGAGGTTGGTATGGAAAAAGGTTGAATGAAGAAAGTAAACAAATTGTGCAGATGAAAATGAATGACAGCAGTGTGACTACTCATGGTACCAAATGTCTAAAAGCTGCTTGAATAAACCTACAAAATGGAAAAACAAAGCATAAGGAGGAATGCAGGATGGTAGTTGGGGAGACTGAAAGGCATTAAGTTTTTATCTGTTGCATTGTTACCTGTTGAGTCTTTTGTTTCTATTTCATGGGGTGTCAAAGATACTTAGTGATAGGGTGACATTTGAGAACCATTCATTTCTCTTTAATAAATGTGTATAATAAGTCTAGGAATGACTGGAAGTTGAAAGAACTATAAATACATATGAATGGATATAGTTATCAAATAAAAATTACAAACTTATTCCAAGTCCAGCTATATTTAAAAGAACAGAATTAGAAGCCAGTGTTGTGGCATATGTTTCTGCCTGCAATGCCATCATCCCATATTGGGTGTGCATGCAAGTCCTGGCTGCTCCATTTCCAGTCTATCTCCCTGCTAATAAGCCTGGGAAAGCAGCGGAAGATGGCTTATGGTCTTTGGCCCCTGTACCCATGTGAGAGACATGGTAGAGACTCCTGGCTCCTAGTTTTGCCTCTCCCAAGGCTGATTGTTGTGACCCATTTGGATGGAAGAGATTTCTGTCTCTCCCTCTTTCTTTCTGTAACTCTGCCTTTCAAATAGATACATCTTTTATATAAAAAAAAATCTTGAATGTGTTATATAAGCATATAATATGCCTGTACCCAAAAGCAACCACTGTAATAGATGCTTTGTAATTTATTCATTTTGATTCAGGCACTTGGCAATATATAAACATTCAGAGCCAAGCTGAAACAATATTTAATATACATTTCTCCTTACTTTTCCACAGCCACACCTTACTGTATTTTAGAACGAAACTTAAAATCCCCCAAAAACTTGTGCACATGAATCAAAATTGCACACTGTTCCTTAATATGAAAATTCAGAGTTATTTGCTTTGAATTTCTTTAAGATTTTAAAAAATTTTTATTACAAAGTCAGATATACAGAGAGGAAGAGAGACAGTGAGAAAGGTCTTTTGTCCGATGATTCACTCCCCAAGTGAGTGCAAGGCCGTTGCTATGCCGATCCGAAGCCAGGATCCAGGAACTTCTTCCAGGTCTCCCACACGGGTGCAGAGTCTCAAGGTTTGGGCCATCCTCAACTGTTTTCCCAGGCCACAAGCAGGGAGCTGGATGGGAAGTGGAGCAGCTGGGATTAGAACTGGCACCCATATGGGATCCCGGTGCATTGAACACGAGAACTTTAGCCACTAGGCCACACCGCCAGGCCCTATTTGCTTTGAATTTCTACTTTTTGGTAGCAAAAAGCCTGACATGGTGCCAGGCAATTGACAGTCGCTTAGACCACTCTTCACTAATGGGCTCAGGAACTGTGAAGTCTAAGTTCAGTGTAGCAGGTGTCAAGCACCAAGGGATCCTTGCTGAAGCAGGGTCGTGCATTTCATTAGGTACAAGGGCTGACTACAGATTGAGGCTTATGTCATGAAGGTTATAACCATCTGATTAGAGGGTTGGGGGGGTGCATCCTCAGAGAGGCCAGCTGGGGAAGACCTGTTGGAAAAGATCGAGTAAGGAAACTTACCATGTAAGCCCTGATGATGAGCAGTCAGAAAAGCAGAGGACTAGTGTTCCTGGCTATGGCAGAAGCAAGTTTGAAGGCCCAGAAACGGAGCAGTTCCATCGTATCACAGTGACGGGGAAGAGGCCTGTGATTCTGCCTGATGACCCTGGGGAGGAAGTAGATGGAATTAGAAGGAAAGAAGGCGAGTGTTACTTCATCCGTGATCTGGAAGCCTCGGTATTTAAGGAGTGCACCAATAATATATCAGAATAATTTTGGTTTAGTCAGTTTATCTCTGTGCCTCTCAAATAAACATTTTTAAAAGCAATTCATTTTTCAACATACTAATTATAAGCTATGGATTATCTATTTTAAGCTATGAATTATCTAATTGGTAATGTTCAGAAAGTATATGAATGCTAACAAATACAAGCACACACACCAAGAGAAAGCAATGCACATTAATGTGTACCATTTTTTAAAAATATGTATTCATTTATTTGAAATTGAGAATTATAGAAAGAGACCAGAAGAGATCTTCCGTATGTTGGTTCATTCCCCAGATGTGTGCAGTGGCCAGTACTGGGCGAAGCCAAGGCCAAGAGCTTCATCTGGGTTTCTGACATGGTGCAGGGGTTCATGCACTTGTATCATCCTATGCTGCTTTCCTCAGACCATTGTCATGGAGCGAGAACAGAAGTGGAGTAGCCAGCAGTGCCCAGGCATGGATTGGATTTTGGCATCCCGGGTGGCAGTTTTACCCACTATACCACAGCACTAGCCTGTAAGCCATTGTTTAATGTGTTGGACATCATGATTGCATTGAGTGATGCTGACAAAGATAGTATATTTTGCACAGTATTTTTTTAAAGATTTATTTATTTTTATTGGAAGGGCAGATCAACAGAGAGAACGACAGAGACAAAGATCTTCCATCTGGTGGTTGCTCCCCAAGTGGCCACAATGGCCAAAGCTGAGCCAGTCTGAGGCCAGGAGCTTCTTCTGAGTCTCCCATGCAAGTGCAGGGTCCTAAGGCTTTGGGCCATCATCTACTGCTTTCCCAGGCTTTTGTTGTTGGTGCTTTCAGAGTCCTATCCTAAAAAATCTTACAATTTGAGTTTTGAAAAGCAATCTGCCTTTGTCTTTATGTGGTTTCAAAGATGAAAAGTCTTGTTGGTGAAGAACCACAGTCCTACCCCCATTATTGTTGCTGACTATTCTGGAATGCCTCGGGACCTCCGAACAAACGGGACTCCATGGTATCAGTGGGTCATACAATGAATCAGATTTTTTAGCGTTAACCCGAAATAGCCGGTTGCATTTAAACTTATTAAAATGGTTGCTAGAACTGTTAACAGAGGAGCATTCTTCCCCTCTTGGAAGATCCCGAGTTCCCTGCGTTCTGGCTTGGATGCCCATGCTGCTGCCCAGCTCTTGTGCCTGAGGCACTCGCGCGGCTGCTTTCTGTCCTTCCTCTTGGAGCAACCTTCTGTCTGCGGCTCCCCTCTCTCCTCCGGCTGCCCGTCCACGTCCTACTTCTCACCCGTGGCTGACTCACAATTTCCTACAGCCCAGCTTCACTTTTCCCTGCCTCCCAGAGCCGTTTTCTGTCTTCTGCACTCTGCAGCCCAGAACACAAGTCCCGTGAATTGCGATGCGTCCCGAAGAGTTACGCCATCTTGGCACACCCCTCCTCCCACAGTGGTGGTAGTAACCTTTCCAAACAGGGCGCTTAACCAGGCTAGGAAAGTCAGTCATGGTCCATTTTCCTTTCCCTTCGTATCTGACCCGCGTTTTAGTTTTATCGGGTTTGCCACCATTCCTTGTACGAACTGGTGCGCCAGCCCTTCAGGCACCGGCTATCACACTGCTTCCGAAACGGTCACTCCGGCTCCATCGAGCCCGGTAAACCTCAAGCCACCTCCAGTGCAGCTGGTGTTAGGAAACAACGCCAATACCCGTAGGCCTGCCATTATGACCTTCATCGATATCGAAATTACATCGACTGATTAAAATCAGAAGAAAACGGGACCCGGGGGCATGGCCTACCGGCTAAAGTCCTCACCGAGCAGGCCCGGGATCCCATATGGGCGCCGGTTCTATCCCGGCAGCCCCGCTTCCCTTCCAGCTCCCTGCTTGTGGACTGGGAAAGCAGTCGAGGATGGCCCAAAGCCTTGGGACCCTGCACCCGCGTGGGAGACCTGGAGGAAGTTCCTGGTTCCCGGCTTCGGATTGGCGCAGCACCGGCCGTTGCAGCTCACTTGGGGAGTGAATCATCGGACGGAAGATCTTTCTCTCTGTCTCTCCTCCTCTCTATATATCTGACTTTGTAATAAAAAATAAATAAATCTTTAAAAAAATAAAATCAGAAGAAAACGGACAATCGAGAAGCGCAGTGCGTATGCGCCCCCACTCCGCCCCAACGAG